TCCTCGAGAGCCTGACGAAGCTGATCTTCGGTATATTGAGGCATTATATATAGAAGAAGACATGTGCAAAAGATGAGCCCATTTGGACGCGAATTGAAAATGTTGTGATAAAAGGAGGTTGGGGGTGGGCATTGGGTTGTGGTGGATTTTCGCGTTTTTGTGGGTGCCAGAAACAGGGGGGTGCCAGGAAGTGGGTATGTTGACTTATAAGACTGTCATCAGGACCACCGACTCCTTCTGGTTCCTTTCTATCTACCATCAACCATCTGAAAATATCCCACAACTTATCTGACTACCTTGATTGGCCATGCATTTCGAGCCAACTGATGTTCTCATTGTCGGCGCTGGCCCGGTCGGCCTGGTGACTGCCCTCGGTCTGGCCCAGCAAGGCATCCCCACAATCATCATTGGTAAGTTGGCGGAAGCTACTTTGATACTGGGCGGATCTGACGCTGAACCAAAGAAAGACGAGAGTTGGAGGTCCAGGAGTCCTTTGGCCGAGCCATTACTCTCTTTCCCCGCACTCTCGAGCTCTTCGAACAGGTTGGCGTCGCCGAAGAAATAGTTCAACAGGGCAACATTGTACGGGGGATTGCCACCTTCCGGGGCGGCAAAAGAGTGTCGGCCGTGGGCCAGCAGTCAATGTTCACTGCCATGACTGGAACCTTCCACGACTATATCATCAACATCCGTCAAAAGTCTTCTCAGGCCATCTTTGCTGCCAAGTATAGGGCCGTTTCAGGAAATGAAGTTCAATATCAGTGGGAACTTGTCGACTACCAAATCGACGACAAGCCCCAAGACGGCTACAATCTCACAGCTAGTCTTCAACATCCTCAACACGGAACACGTTCGGTCAGATGGTATAGCCCCTTCTCATACATGCCCCAATGAGAAGAACTTGACTAATCCTCTAAAGTAAATACCTGGTCGGCGCCGACGGAGTCACGTCTCAAGTCCGACAACTTGCCAAGATTGAAATGATTGGTGACGAAACGGCATACGAATGGGTTCGTTTTGATGGCCGTGTCAAGACCGATATTCCTGAGACCGACCTTGGCTTTGTGACAATCAACAGCGCCGAGTACGGCAGCGCCTTCCTAGCTCGGCTTGATAAGGATGCGTGCCGCCTGGGATACGTCTTCACTCCGACGCTCAAGGCCAAGTATCCCCAAGGTCTCAGCAAAGAACAGGCCATGGAGGAGGTAATCAAGTCCGTCCAACCGTTCAACCTTGAGTTCGAGCGAATCGACTGGTGGACAATTTACAGGCAAGTATAATCCTGAAACCCACGAAAGCCAATTCACTAACAGCAAAAACAGCATCAAGCAAAAGGTCGCCGCGACCATGCGAAAGGATGACTTCGTATTCCTTGCCGGCGACGCTGCTCACACACACTCCTCCGGCTTCGGCCAGGGCATGAACACCGGAATCCACGACGCCATTAACCTCTCATGGAAGCTCGCTGGAGTTCTCAGAGGGTGGTATCAGACGGGAGTGCTCGACACGTACTCCGAGGAGCGCCGTGCCGTCGCGCAAAAGGTCATTGATATCGACAGGACCCTAGCGGCTGTATTGTCTGGCGACGTGCCCGAGACGTGGAACGGATGTAGCGGCAAGCCTGAGCCGAGCAAGGTGCTGGGCGACATATTGACGTCCAACGCCAGCTTCAACATTGGTCTTGGCGTCAGCTATGGGCCCTCGGTCCTGGTCGACAAGGCTACCACTGGTAGTTTGGCCGTCGGACATCGCTGTCCTGACATCCTTCTCAGAGCACCCGGCCCGTCTGTTCCCATCCGCCTGCAGAGCATTATCCATAAGAACACTGGGCAGTGGAACATGCTCATCTTTGCTGGTCGCCCTGGTCAACAGACAGCAAAGGTGGCTGCACTGCGTGAGACTCTCGAGTCTCTCAACGCGGCCAATAAATACGACCAGATGGTTAGCTTCACGACAATTGTCACTGGTACTATTACCAACACGTGGGATGTGTATGATGGGCTCCCTTCTAGTTTGGTGCTCTGTGATGTCGACGGACAGGGACACAATACCTTTGGAATCTCAGCCAAAAGCGGCGGGCTTGTTGTTCTGCGCCCAGACGGCATCTTGGCTGGCATATACCCGATCGAAAATGTGCAGGAGGTGGGACTTTTGTTCAAGGGTTTCTGGTCTGGTAGCACCAAGACACTCCCTCTTGTTTGAAGACATATGTAGCTGGACTTGAATGTCCTAGACGCCGGAATAGATCTGGACCGTGACATAGAACCCTCGTACCACTTGATCCTGGAATCATGATGACCACAACTAAAATGCATCTAATTTCATGACTGGGTCCTCAAAACCTGCATGGTGAACATACAGTGAACTGTCGCCCTTTTCGCTGGAGGCATCGATAACCGCAAGCCAGCAGACTCACCGGCATACCTGATTTTCAAACAGGTGTGGAGCAAAAGGACTACCTAACTACCGGCAACAAGATTATGGTGGGAAATACCACGGAAAGATTTCCCTTGCAAAACCGCGTCAAATAATTCACATTTCATCACTGTTATGCCCAACAACTTTCGAGGTCTATCCTCTATCGCCGCCCGACCTCAAGTTATCGAGGAAGTCAAGCCCGAGGAAATCACCAAACCACGGCTCCATCTGATCGAGCATTTCTCCAAGTTCCTGACCCGTCGAGGTTCCCACCTGGTCCACAAACCCATCCTGGTCACTGCCAGCACGAACACCGCCACAGAGTTGCTTGTCCTGAGAAACCTCGGGGATTAAATCCAACCGAGTTAACGCCCACTCAAAGATGGACAATACCCTCTTCATGACTGGTGAGTCCTGAAGCTGTTCGAGAATGAGCAATCCTTGACGAATGTAGATGAGCGACATGGACTTGGTTGCGTTCGACTCGGTGGCATCCAAGGCGGTCTCTATGTGGAGGGCCAGTGCTATTGGTATATTGGAATTGCTTCCAGGCTCAATCGTTAGTCGTTCATTCTCGATTTTGGGACTCTCTGTGGGGGAGACGCACAACGACATGGGCAGGCTCCTAAGTTCGCCATTTGCAAGTGCTCTGCCGAACAGCGTGTCAAGCTCAAACATAGAGCATCGAAGTCGACCTCGTACCCAGTCGTACCGGGAAACATCAATAGACTTCCAATGAAGCTTGAGAGTCCTGTACAAGATACACTCGAACCTGTAACTGGCTGCGGTTAGGGCCGTGATGTAGGGGCCATCGGTGAGGTGGTGGTCTGCGTAGATTGCTCCTCGAAGCTGACTTCTCCAATTATGAAACTCGTGAGCCATGGTTTCAGCGTTGAACTGATCTGGGTCGGATATTCCAACAAGCCATTTCCTTCCTGTCACCATTTGGTAAGTGTCAAGAGCTGTACCATATGTTGACCAATTGCAACCTACCTAGCACAGACAATTTGCAGTAATCAATGAAGTGAAGCTCTTGTTCACGAGTTACCGTGGAAGGGAACAGGGTGTTTATGTTGTCACTCTGAACTTCCCAATCTTCCGCCGTTGGCAACGCTGGCAGCTTCTTCTTGTCGCTGACCAGAGGCATACTTTGCATGCCAAGGAATGACAGTAGCACGTCTCGACACTAGAACGATGGGCCAATTCGAATGGCACGTGAGTCAAGTGGCTCCAATCTCCTGGGCCCAGGTGATTAACTCACGTAGATCACCCACCAAATTCTCCTATATAGCCCGCGAAGCTGAGTGTCCGCAATCCGTAGTTGATCACTGCGAATTGTAATGTTGAGAAGATTGAACTCCGGGTTGAGTTTGGAATTTGAGGTGTGCTCACAGCTTCTGGAGTTCCAATTTCGTGGCAAGCCGGACGGCATTGAAGAACCAGTACTGAACATCTCGGTCGATGGGGTAGAAGAAGGCAGTTGTGCCTAGGATGAGGGATCCCTGAAGCAGGCATAGTTGACTCTTCTCGCATTGAAAGTCGTGTAGTAGCAATGCCTTGTTGAAAAATGCTGTCTGCGCCTCTGTGACGTTTGAGTATCCACACGAGGTGAGGAGCTCAGTCGGCACGTAGAGAGTAGCACTTGTTAGGACTGTCTGTATGAGGAACGGCGAATAAGATCCTGACTCGTAACATTGCAGGAAGTGGTTTGGATCCAATACTGGCGAATATGGATGAACAAAGCGAAAATAGGCAGTCAGAAACACCATTCTCACATCTTCTTGTCAGCCTTTTTTAGGTTCATCATGGGAGTTACCTTTTGAATGGACGGCTTACAAGGCATCCCGGTGCGGCAACACAAATGCGCCCTTCTTTACAAGAAACTCTAGATCCACCGGATCCAAACCAGACATGCCGACCTGTGTGTTTTCTGGGTAGAGAGGAGTGTTATCGGTGGAGCTGTTGGCAGTAGACCCGAGCCCGGGACTTTCACCCGTCTCACTGCCATTCATCGCCGTCTTCAATATACTAAGATAATGACTCCTTCCGTTGTATTCTGCTTGGGCCTGCGGGAGTGCATAGACGTCTCGTATATTTTCGGGCGCGCGGCCTGAACCTATCGAGCTCGTCTTCCCAAATTCACCAAGACAATGGGAACCGTGGGTGCGTCGGATGGAAGACGGCGGCACGATTGGATTGGAAGAGGTTGAAGAGTCCACTAAAGCATGGTTCGACGAGAATTCTCTGGGCGTAGACTCAGTGTTCTGCTCCAGTCAGTCATCACTGCTATATCTCTACAGCTTTATATGCCATGGGCCGAACTTGGGCTGCCCGGATGGACCGATGGTAAAAACATGGCGTTCTCACATTCTGGGTGCCGTGGCAGTCTTGGATCAAATCGTCTGTTCTTCTCTTCCTTTGGCGCCATCGTCAGAGGACCGAGAATGTTGTCCGAGGTTTCCCATGCTTTCGCCTACCTCTTTCGTATCTGGCGAGAGACCAACTTGCAACTCTCGGAGCATCCCTTGCTGACACATCGGCCGCAGGGTATCCCGACAATAGGCGCATCGCACTTGACCTTGCGCGAGTGACACTCAGTGCACGCTTTGCTGAGTCTCGCCACACCTACTCCAACGTCGGCGGCGGTCGCCATGTAAGCCGGTATACAATTCCGCTCTGGGAAACGTCTAGCTACCGGGGCCGTATTCTTGTCGGCTTTTCGGCGAGACGCATAGGATGAAGGGAAAAAAAGCCAAGTAATGGTTCCCATAGTGTGAAGAGATAGGCTAAATGAAAGGAGATCATTGATAGTTTCGGCGCCGAACAGGGACCCATAATTCGATATCACGGCATTTCGGCATTTACAAAGTTTCCGGAATAACCCAGTGTTACGACCTACCATGAACGGCCAAGCCCAGGAGCGGCTACCGCGCCATGTCCAAGGTATTCAAAACCTCGTGTTCATTTGATCTTTCAACGCATATGCTGAGCTTCGTCGTTCATCACTATGACTGAGAAGATGCGAAGTAAGCTGTGAACACCTTTCGCGTCTGAAGGCACCAGTCGGCAGCCACGGTCGCTTGAGGCAATCTAAATTTATGGTTCTCCACAGTGGACCGTGGCGGGCCGCATCCTGTCAGGCCCTTGAGAGCTCCCCCCTGATGATCCCCTCGGGACTCGGGCGGCGCTACAGAACGCGCGCTTCTCGACCGTAAGCGAGCAGCGTGAGATGTCTCACTGGGAGGCTGATTGGGTGATTGGCTTGTGAAGGATGCAGGAACCGGCGCCTGTGTCCATCTTACCCGGTCGGGAACTTGGCTTTGGATGTGAGATTCTTTTTCCGACGTCGATGACAGCTTGCATGGATATGATTGATGTGGGGGTTGAGGCAGGAGAAGCATTGCTGGATCCGAGGTAGTGATGTTCATCGCCGACTCTCATGAATACACTTATATTTCTCCTATTACCTCGTCGCTTGATCTCAATGACTCAGATGCTGCGTCCTCTGTCAAACACAATTCCGATCTTCTCACTCCTCATGGCCTGTGATAAAGCCTCAGACTCAACTTGAGGCACTCAGAAGTGAGATTCAGCAGCCCAATCCCAATGTTCAAGTCACAGCGCCTTTAGCGAAGAGCTTACCTGCCAGGATTCACGTCAAGAGCAGCCGCTGCCAGTTCTCTTCACTCTAGCCATGTTCGTCGTCAATCGACCTCTCATTAATGACATCTCCTGGGCGCATCAGCGATTCTCCAGAAGCATGGTGTTCAGTCAAGAGTAGGCATAAATACCTGACGTTTGTTACACAAACAAGGAGAGTGAGCAGTTGATTTTAGTTGATTTTGTGGGACCTGATTCTGTACACTAGTCGCGTAATGCACTGCGCATTCTCAGTTTGCCATACCTCAAAGGGCGAAATCTCATTTGATCGCATCGGATTAAGGTTGTGTGGAACATGAAGAACGTTTGAGTGGAACACGCTTTCGGGGCTTGGTGTAAAGATGTGCCGAGAGAAAGTCTAGTGGCAATTGCGGCATTTCCATGAGCTACACTGATCGTCATCCGCGCCGTCTGTCCCGTCACTGCACGACATTCTGTCGATGCTTGACATGATCAAGACGACATGAGTGAGAGATAAGACGTGACCAAAAGTCATGATGACGGATTCGATTTCATCTCATAGAGGGAGATCATAGAGTGAGATGGTACAACGCAAGTCTCAGTGTCCAAGATGCCATAAATCTCATGGAGGATATCTCATATGAACCGGAAGGCCTCAAGCTAAGGTACTCTAAGAGACGTGTGAAGACGTTACTATGTGTCGGGACGGGTCAGCGTTTAGTGCTTACCCGGTGCCCGGCCCAGACGGTCGCAGACGGGCCCAAACGGACTCACGTCTCAGTTCCAAGCAAGCCTATCCATACGCCATAAGAAGAGCCCCTCCGTGATGGCCGACTTCGGGCTTCCGCAGCCGAGAGAGACAGAAGACGGGAGATTTAGGTGGAAGCGCGGGGTCCCCCAGTCTCACCATCGCCCACGGTCCACACCTACGACCGCAACCCCGCCACGGCCAACCCACTCAGGCAATCCTAACAGTTGGCGACGGTGGCAGCGTCACGACCGTGTCCTGGGGCAACCCGCGTTTACTCCTCCATCTCTACCATCCTCCATCGACAATTGGTACTCGAGGGCTGTTAAGCGGGTCCGACGGTGGGCGTCACGGAGAGAAAGTACGAGGTACCCCATTCCATCAGGGTGCGCAGCTCATCCTGACAAACGATGATGCAATTGCGTGTTGGAACCCCTCACTTGTTTAAAAAGAGGCCACCTCGAAGCTCTCCCCAGCAATTTTTCCTTCTGTTGGTGATTCTTACGATAACTTATACTCTCCCTCTTCTTTTCTTCTGAATCAATCCTCATACAAATCCAGCAAAAAATGTCTTTCGGAAGCAAGGCTAAGCTCAACACCGGCGCCGAGATCCCGTACGTCTAAATAATTACCCCTCCATCCATTCCCCTGCCGATCGCGATACCCCGCTCTCGCGCTCGCGTTCTGCCTCTCTTTTCCCCCTCCCAATCTACAAAACGAAAGAGAACACGCAAAGTGAATTGACTCTTTGGCCATTATAGCACTCTGGGATACGGCACTTGGCAGTCCGCCCCCGGCGAAGTCTCCGTCGGTGTCTACGAGGCCCTCAAGGCCGGCTACCGCCACCTCGATCTCGCCAAGATCTACCAGAACCAGCCCGAGGTCGCCCAGGGTATCAAGAAGGCCCTCGCCGAGATCCCCGGCCTCAAGCGTGAGGACATCTGGATCACCTCCAAGCTGTGGAACAACAACCACAAGCCCGAGAACGTCGAGGCCGCTCTTGACGAGACCCTGAAGGAGCTTGAGCTCGACTACCTTGACGTATGTCTTCCTACAATACCCCTCCTTGCGTACTAGGTTGGGTGGGCATCAATGGGCGAGCAATACCCGGCTAACTCCTCACTCACAGCTCTACCTCATCCACTGGCCCGTTGCCTTCAAGAAGGATGGCGACAAGCTCTTCCCCCTCGCCGCCGAGGGTGAGGTTGACCTCGACCAGAGCGTCTCCCTGGTCGACACCTGGAAGGCCCTGATCGACCTCCCCAAGTCCAAGGTCAAGAACATCGGTGTTTCCAACTTCACCGTCGAGGACCTTCAGACCGTCATCGATGCCACCGGTGTCACCCCCGCCGTCAACCAGATCGAACGCCACCCCCTCCTCCAGCAGAACGACACCCTGATCAAGTACGCCAAGGAAAAGAACATTCACATCACCGCCTACTCTGTATGTTCACCCCAAACACTACCCTCCTACTTTTCTCAATGACGCAATGACTAACAAGCACAGGCCTTTGGCAACAACGGCTTCGGTCTTCCCCTCTTGATCGAGAACGACGTCGTCAAGAAGATCGCCACCAAGCTCAACGCCACCCCTGCCCAGGTCGTCCTCGCCTGGTCCCAGAACGGCGGCCACTCCGTCATCCCCAAGTCCGTCACCCCCAGCCGCATCCAGTCCAACTTCCAGGAGGTCAAGATCTCGGACGAGGACGTTGCCGCCATCAACGAGATCGGCAAGGAGCCCCGCCGCTACAACATTCCCTTCACCTACAAGCCCCGCTGGAACATCAACATCTGGGACGAGAAGGAGGAGAAGGAGGCCTCCAACAAGGTCGTTCGCAAGCTTTAAGTTTGTGTGCTGTTGATAAAGGAAAGAAAAAACTACCGCGTTCCTAGTTTATGATACCATGCGGACCTTATAGAAAAAGCCGTAGACGGCCATAGATGGACGACTCTATGAATAATGAAAACAAACAAGAACACTGCCAGTTCCATATCTCGTTGTGACGTTGCTGTAAAATCGGTGATGATGTTCAAGCCTACCGAGACGATTAAACACTGATATGTCGAGCTTTGGTGAACGGCGGTTAGGCTCTGAAAATAGCTCAAGGACCTTGAGCAGTTGACGGGGCACAAGCCTTGGCACAGCATCCACCTCCGGGACCCGACTTTTCCGGTATGGTGTTCATTGATGGTGATCTCTCTCAAACCAAACCTGAAATTGGTTCAGCTTTCTCGATCCCTTTAAAATATTGTATCAGTATCTTCAAGGTATTTCAAGATCTCTATTGACCCTGTTTTGAGGAGTTGTCAATATGTCATGTTGGTGACAACAACTGACTTGGCCTTTGAGGAGCAACCGCTGACTAAGCAGACTATCTGTCATGACGACCTGTCGGTCCGCGTAACGTCCGGAGCACATCCCCGGCCAATCAAGCTAAAAAGCTCACCTTACACTTTGATAACCAACGACCATTCCACCGCCCCTTCACCATGGCGGCCAAATATGCTGCACAGGACCTCTCGGACGCGGCACTAGGAGGTCCAATTGGCCTTAAGGATGGCTACTTTGTCGACAACTACGGTCGCACCCTCACGCTGCATGGCCTCAACATCTCTGGGGCGAGCAAGCTGCCTACGACGCCCAATGGCCTGTCTCATCTCACCGACGGCTTCTTCGAGCACCGAACGGTGACCTTCATCGGCCGGCCATTCCCCCTTGAAGATGCGCCGTTGCACTTCAGACGATTGCAGGCTTGGGGCTTGCCGCTTATTCGTCTGCTGGTAACGTGGGAGTCGATTGGACACTCTGGGCCGGACCCGGAGACGGATGTGGATTTGGAGTATATCGACTACCTACGCCAACTCATCGAAATCATGCCGAAGTACGGCGTCAAGTGCTTCATTTGCGCCCATCAGGATGTGTGGAGTCGGTTCAGCGGCGGCAGCGGTGCACCCGGTTGGACGTTTGAAGTTGCTGGGCTCGATGTCGAGGCATTCACTGAGACCGGTGCCGCATATGTGCATGGGCAGGATGAAATGAGGAGAGCTACTGCGCCTGTGAATGAGAAGGAACCGAGCGGGCCGTTTGTGTGGCCGTCTGGTTACCAGAAAATTGCGGCGTCGACGATGGCGACGTTGTTTTGGGCGGGCGATGCTCTGGCGCCGAAGCTGCAATGCAAGCGGTCGAAAGATGGCAGGGATGAGACTGTTTCGGCTCAAGAGTTTCTCCAGGGTGCCTTTATCGAAGCCTTTGGGCGGCTCGCGGATGAAGTGGCTGGCCTTGAGGCATGCGTTGGCTTTGAGCCCTTGAATGAGCCGCATCGAGGTCTTGTCAACCTTCATGGATTCGACGGTTGGAACTACGATACCGACTTACATATCGGATATTACCCTTCTCTAACACAAGCACTCGCACTTGCCAGTGGCTACGCTCAAGAAGTCAATTACTACGTCAAGTCCTGGCCGTTCCCTACCCGCATTTCGCACAAAACCGTCGTCGATCCGAAGGGAAGATCTGCCTGGTTGGCTGCTAAGCCAACTGCATCGAAACCACAAAACTATGGTCTCGGCGAGTGTGTATGGCGCGCTCATGGCGTTTGGGAATGGGATGAGGCGAAAAAGGGCCCAAAGGTCTTGCAGCAAGACTACTTCGAGGTGGACCATCGGCCAGGCCGTGAAGGCAAGCCGCTAGAATGGTACCGCGACTTTTACGGTCCCTTCCTCAAGCGCTTCTCGGAACGCGTCTCACGGAAATCTTCCCGCCAATTCTGCTTCTTTGAGCCGATACCGAACGAGTTTGTGCCTCCTTGGGTTAGCCAGGGCGGCAAGGTGGACGAAGCCGGACAAAAGCAAACATATGCAACCAAGACAATCATCGACACCCCGAGGCCAGAGAACCTCGTTTTTGCCCCTCATTTCTACGACCTCAACGTACTATTCAGCAAGCATCACTCCTGGATGAGCGTCAACGTACAAGGCCTCTCCAGGGGCATGTTCATACTGAAGGCACTCTACTTCGGCGCCAGGGCCCTCCGCCAAAACTACCGCACGCAACTCGCAAACATCCTCAAGTACGGGCAAAAGTCGCTGGGGACCCACGTGCCCGCCCTCATCGGCGAGGTTGGCATACCTTACGACATCAACGGCGGCGAAGCCTTCAAGACGGGTAATTACGATAAGCTGCGGGAGCTGATGCACGCGCTCGTCTCCGCCATGGAGGACAACAACCTTGCGTTTACGCTGTGGAATTATAACCCTGATAATCGGGTGGAGTACGGCGATGGGTGGAACAAGGAGGATTTCTCTGTCGTTAACGGCGACACTGAAGCGAAGCCCGGCCACATTTTGCCAGATTATGCGAACGAGGCGCACGAAGATGATGAGCTGTACCGCGGCGGGAGGGTGTTGGACGTGATTATTCGTCCTTACGCCGTCAAGATTGCAGGCCGCCACGCTCGCTCGGATTGGGACCCACGGACCCTCCACTACGAGTTCGAGTGGACTTCAGAGACCGAGAGTGACGCCAAGAACAGCAAAAGTCAACCCGAAAAGTCCCGGACGACGGAGATATTTGTGCCAGAGTACCACTACGCACAACGCAACATCGACATCAAGGTCAGCGATGGAGAGTGGTCGTACGATCCTGATCTGGCGACACTGTACGTGAAGCATGATGGAAGCAAGAGCACGCATCGATTGACAATCGATATTACGAATATTCCAAGGCATCTGATGGAGACTGTTGAGAAAAGGCGGCGGGCGTTCCCGCCTAGTTTCCCACTGAGTCTCATCTCGCCGAGCACGGAGCTTGCGATTGAAGAGTTGATGATGCCAATGTTGTTGCCTGGGCTTCTTGTCATTTTGCTGGCTGTTGTGACGATGTTTGTCTAGAGGTGAAGGGTTCATTCGCAGCAGAAAGGTAGTTGCGGTAGACTTTCAAGTTGATGGAGGTAGATATTGGGTGCTTAGATGAGCTTCGTAAGAGACATAAGGTCAGAGGCTTGAGTATGGCTCATGTCTCTTTGACTTCGAGAATGGAAATACGCTGCCCACGTCGAAAGCTGACAAGTGAATCGTGTCAGAACTCATTTGTTGCCATTTTCACCCGTATGGTCATGAAGTGCCTAGCATCATCAATTCCCCGCCTCAATTCTGGTCTGAAATTGACGTCTCAGACGTGAGTTCAACATATAGGAAGATAGAGTGGATGATGAACATTAGATATCAGAACCAAGAGGCATCAGAAGTTCATATGCATGGGGCCACTTTTATCCGTCTTTGGGTCAAGTCTATTGGTCTAGCTTTTGCCCCTCCCCCTCTTTTGGCCATGCTTCTGTCAACCTCTGTTGAGCTCATAGCCAGATTCCATGTGATCAACAGGCAACCTACCCCGACCGACTTAGACGTTGATAATAGCAACGGCTTTTTATTACATCTCATACCTTTGTAAGCTCACCCGCGAGATTACTGTCTATCTACGAGAAAGTAGTATGCTGATCAGGCTATTAGAGAACATTTCGACCTATCTACCCAGCAACATCCGTAGTACTAGAGGATATCCTCTTGTGTGACTGAAAACACTCGTCTCCTATCTTGTTCCCAACAGCTGTCGTGAAACGACCCAACACCACCACAACGATGATGGGCTACGACGATGACGACGGCATGGGAAGCCGCCTCTTCGAACACCGCGCAAGTGACACCCACAGAATGGTCCCCAAATCAGACCTCGTCATCTACAACCCCTCGACCCAGCTCCTCGGCATGCAAATGTACTCCTGGGCCACCAAACGTCCCGTCCCCGAACGCGGCAGCATGGTCGTCTACATTGACGGCGCCTGCCGCAACAACGGGCTCCCCGATGCACAAGCCTCGTGGGGCGTCTACTTTGGTCCCGGGTCGCGATATAACGCGTGCGGGTTGTTGGCGAGGGACCTCCCGCAGACGAGCTCAAGGGCTGAGATTGAGGCGCTGGTGCAGGCTGTGAGGATTATTTGCGAGATTACGGGGAGGGATTATTCGTTGAATCGGATTACGATTGCGACGGACTCAGAGTATCTTGCGAGTGCGATGGCGCTTTGGATTGGGGACTGGATCGAGAATGAAGGGTTGAATGCGAGAGGGAAGAGGGTTGCGCATTTTGAGGTGTTGAGGGAGTTGCATGAGCGGTTGGATGAGATGACGTATGGAGATGATGGTGGGAGGGACATCTTATTTTGGGCTATCCCAAGAGAGGAAAACACTGAGGCTGATGCGTTGGCTAATCAGGCGTTTTCAATAGGTCGTAGGACGTTTTGATGTTGATAGGAGCAGGAATCTTTTCCGACTTCTGTAAAGATGTTCTTAGTCTTGTATTGGGCTTCTGAAACTTTGGGGGACGGGAGCTACCATGATTAATTAGATGGGTCCGTATACTCGCTGAAATAGTGTTAGTTCACACGGTACAGGTGATGATCTGAGCAGGCTAGTTGGCGAGACATCACATCGTTTCCATTCTAACTACTATCTTGTCTGGCTGCTTGTAAAATTGTGAATGACCTTCGAGCCGTTTTACAGGACTAGGGTAAAAGGTAACCACCAATGAACAACAGCAATCCGGAGGAGTCCAACTCTGCTTACGTCACGTGATTGGAAGCTATAAGTTGATCTGGGGGATCCCCTTTCACAAACTACGTAGCAGCAAAAAGTAAGGTGCATTCAGCTACCTGATTACACTTGCGAGCAATCCAGCTCAGAGTCCAACATTGATCGACAACCCTTGTAGCTATGGTGACTCAGTCTCACCACCGTCGCTGGTCTCATCTATGTGACCGTTGTCTGACTATTTTCACTAAAGCTAGAGAAGTCTCTTCATACGGTCTGTACTCTCCGAATAATGATGGCTACCGGCTCCCGCACACAAAGGAGAGCCTGGAACAAGGAAAGGGCGGTGGCTGTCGCATCTGCAGTCTCATATGGTTCCGGCGCTTGAACTTTGGGGGAAAGCACGATATTCCATGGCCAGACTGGGATGACTTGGATCCGGATGATAGTCTCGAGCTTCGATACGGCTTCGCCAGCGGAACGCAAGGTTACGAAATTCACATGGGTCTGTGGAGATTAGACGAAGAGAATGCCAACAGGATGCAAACCATATTTTTCTCGGTCGAAGAAACAACAGGTCCGTGACGCTTCCGAGTAATTAGATTGCTATGATATCAGAAGCTCATGCAGAATGACAGCGGAGATTGCAGCTTTGATTCCAAGGGAAGAGTCAATTCTGGCTCTAAACACCAATACTGGCTCGGAGCAAGCATTCGGCTTAGCTCAGAAGTTTCTCACGGATTGCCTGACATCACACGATTGCTCAATGCAAAACGAAGACGGATGGGCCCCCACTCGCCTGATTGACTTGGGAGAGTCCCCTTCCGACGTAGCCAAGCTGGTACATTCGCAATCTCTGCAACGCCCTGTTCAATGGATGACGCTGAGTCACTGCTGGGGCTTAAAGCAGCCGTGTACCCTCCTTGAAACCAACATCAAGCAGTTTATGATAGGCATACCGCACACAGAGCTTTCCAAAACCTTTTCCGACGCCTTTATCATCGCCAGGAGACTTGGGGTTCGATATATATGGATAGATTCCATCTGCATCATTCAACAGAGCGAGGATGACTGGAGACGAGAGGCTCCTACTATGGGCAAGGTATACAGCCTGTCACTTTGCACCATATCCGCAAGCCATGCGGCGGACGGATCAGGCGGCTGTTTTTCGGACAGAGACCCTTGGACTGTCTTGCCCTGCGTCATACCATCGCCGTTCTCGACGGATTCTGAGGCTCCGCCATTTCTTCTTCACGGGGAAAACCTAGATGCCAGATGGAAGTCAGACATTCCAGAGGCGCCGCTGCATAAGCGAGCTTGGGTCTTTCAGGAGCGACTTCTCTCTCCTCGAACACTGTACTTTGGTCGGCAGCAGATCCTTTGGGGATGCGGCCAGCGCGAGCTTTGTGAATCGTTTCCTGAAGGGGTCCCGTCGCAGCCGGCCACAATCTGGTGGCAATTTATCGGCGACCGGAGACGTTTTCGAGACATGCTGCTCGAGAGCGCGGGGACCAAGCCCTTTGAGGCTGCGTGGTCGGAAACAGTGAAGATGTATTCAAAGACAAAGCTTACGTTCCCTAGCGATAGGCAAGTGGCTTTTTCGGGCTTGCCCGGTCAGTTGCAGGATAAGCGCGATACCCAACAAGCTTATGGTGTATGGATAGACGAGAGTTTGCCATGGGCTCTGCTTTGGAGTGCTCAGGAGAAGGTTCGCGCGCGGCCGACTGATTACTTGGCGCCATCGTGGTCGTGGATGACACTGAACACGCAGGTAACATTCGGGAACTGGTATCCACATGGAACGGGGCTGGTAATGGCTGTTGGTCTCATAACTTCTGGCCTTGGTGGCATGAATAGGATCGGAAAGGCGGAAAATGACGGGTTGATTCTAGAGGGTGTCCTCAAGGTGGCGTTCTATAGAAATGAGACTAACGACGATGGCGACGCGAAGCACATGATCTCGCAGCTGAAGGGCAGAGATGAAGAGACCATTCAACTCCAGGCATTCACTAGTACAAGAGATCGGAAAGCGCTATTATCGATGCCCCAAACGACGATCTCAGACTCTGAATCAGATTGGACGCAAATTTACGGTTGGGACTCGCCTGGAGAGACACCGACAGGAGATATTGTCGTTTGCCTTCCGTTGGTCAACCATACAGACCGCGTTTTGAGGTTTGAGGGACTATTTCTTGAGCCTGTGCCGCAATCGCCGAAGAACGACACTGTTCTGTATGCAAGCGGAGTGCAGGCTGATGAGCAACTGCCAAAGTTCCGGCGTATTGGAAGCTATCACCTGATGCACCGCGCCGATTGGGTGGCAACAACCGAAAAGTTGCGTTTCATGCTGATTTAACCAATTGAAAGTGGCATTATCAAAAGTTTCACAGGATCAAAATTACAAAAGACTTCGCCGCCCTGGTGATGAATTGGGAGCTACGTCTCATGGTGCTCAAACTGGGAAACTTCAGGTACTCGTGCTGGCTCCGAACTCGGGTACTCTCGCTAAGCCTGTCGTCGAGTAGGCTGGGTGGCGTTCAACTGATTGTTGACCATTAACCACTCCACCACCAGCCAGTTTGATCCGATCCTTCGACCTAGACGGGCGCCTGCTGGCTAGTGACAGAAATGGAGCTGAGGGGACCTATATGGGCTTCATTCGGTGTGTGTTCGTATGACTAGGTTGGCGGTTGTGTATTCGGGCAGGTAGGTTGGCAAGAATACGCAAAGAAAACCCATGCAGGCATTCCCCAACCTTCTGAACTTGCCCACCTGCCTGATACACATGGACTTGTAGTCTTGAACGATAAAAGCAGAATGTCTTTACTCAAAGACGCCTTGGAGCATGAAATACAGTGGAAACCTCGTTGATCTTTGAATGGAATGCGGCGTTGAATGTTCTTAATGATATTGACTCCCATCCCGTATGCTGTGACTGTCTATTTCCTACTGATACTCTCTGAACTCCGAATATATGCAGCATCGATAATCGTCCTTTCATCCTTATGCCGGCGCGGTTCCACTAGGCATGGCACTTCCACTGGGGGAACCGCCTCCGCCACCTTGCTCGCTCTCTGGACCACTCAAAGAAGGGTTGTTCTCCGTGTCGATGCCGATGGTGATGTAGCCGACCATGCCTTGGGTGATGTCGCTACCATCAAGAGGGACGATGTCGATGACGGGGTTGTAGCCATTTGCGAGGCCTGAAGAGTAAACAGAGTCCACGTCGTTCGTCGTACGGTTGATCTCGGTGTGGCTGACGTAGGGCTCCAAGGCCATGATCTCCTGTGAGATGGACTCGTTGAAGTAAAGTTGGCCAATAGAGTTGGTGTTGCCAGTCTTGACAGTGCCGTTGCTGTGGAGAACCCAATCGGTAAAGACTAGTTGAATCTGTCAGCTTCGAAGTATTACTTTCATAAAAAAAAACATCAGGCGTACCTTGAGCGTGGATGTGGATAGATCTTTGGATGTAGAAACCAGGGAAGATGGTCTTCATCTCAAGGATACCTTCATCATTTGAGGGCCACATGCCACGAAGCCATGTGGTGTCATCAGTGTGAAGATCCGTGGTGCCAATCTCAAAGTCGGTGACATTGAGAGACTCGAGGAGCTCCCGGAAGTCCGTGTTGGGATCACGGCCAGTGAAACTGGAGTAGCTGCCCGTGGAGTTGCAGTGCCAGAACGCAACAAGGGCGTTGGGAAGAGGCTCGCACGTGGCCATGTCAAGAACACCGACGTCGAGGATAAGAGGAACGCCGACTTGGTCCTCGGTCATGTCCTGCCTCAAGGTCTCTGACCGGGGCCAGTAGTACGGACCAGCGGTGACATCGGGGGCGAGGACGCAGGTGTCGTTCTGGAGGGTGTCGTAGTAGGGGCCCTCGGTGACGATGGTGTAAGAGCTGTTGCCGGATCGCTTGTTCAGGCTAGCCTCCTCCTGACGCTTCTCGAATCGCTTCTGCTTGAACTTTGCGGCTCCGGAAGCACAGCGCTTAGAGAGATCGGCGTGGCGTTTGACGACTCCAGGGGCTACTTCCTTGTGGGCAAGGGCCAAGGAGGCGAACGCGCCAATTGCAACGGTTGAGAGTTTCATGATGTGTGGAGAGAAGGTTGCTAAGGTACTGAGAGATAGTTTGGATGAACGAGACGCTGAGAAACATCCGAACTCTATTTATCTTATACACGTCTCAATCTTGGCCACCTTTCGAAAAACTGATTACCTTTGATGGAAATGCCATGTCGACACCTTTCGTCGAAGACTTGGTTCCCCTGAACGCGTCACCGAGGGTGAACAACTTGTCGGCATTTCGACATCAACTGGGTACTCGCCCATGGAGCGGGCAGTGTAATGACGAATCACAGTCATTTCATTACAAGCTCGCACAAGCTTGTAGCATATCGTCAATCTAAAATAGGTATGTACGGTGCCACAGCGTTCGCAGAGGCTGACGACTGTTCCAACTTTTCTCCACTGAAAAATCGGAATGTGGGTGAATGGGGGCCGCGGACCGTCGAGTGTAGATCAACTACGATTTACGAATGCGAGTATTCTCTGTTCGTCCTTGGAAGCGGTAATCATCATTGGGGTCAATTTGGAGTTCGGTTTATTTGTAGATCATAGCGGAGGAGAATATAGGGCCCCGGCTCCGAATAATCCGGTATGTGGGAGCCGAGCCGCCATCACATCTTGCACATAAATCGGAAGGTATCCGGCGAAATTCTTCCTAGAATAATCGTGGTATTGCAATATTCCTCTTCCTCTCCCAAAGTCATGCTGGGGATCTGGCATAGAGTTCGACTGTATGACCGGATGTGGTGAGCTATGGCGCTGACGGAGGGTGTTAGTCAACCTACAGGTCACTCTTTGCAGCCAGTTGGCAGCTGCTTTTGTAGTCGGATTGCCGAGAACTGATAGCGGAAAGCCTAGTTAAGAACATCATTGACCGAGAGCTTGTTTGAGTCAAGATGTAGTCGTACTTGCTCATAAGTTCAAGAGATTGATGCCTCGTACTGCCGGCCGTGATATCTTCTGGATTCTATCCGGTATGCTGGCCTTCCGATGGCTGATGGCCGTGGCCCATGACGACAGCAGGCTCAGTTGCTCAGATGCGTCAAGTTTGCACTCTTCTGACATTATTAATCAACTTCAGTTGACAGATGGCAGTTAATGTCAGGACTGACAAATGCAGGCGGCATTGAGAAGACAATGTCAAAGCAAGCTGTTACCCGCCATCTGGAAATACCTTTTGCCTAGATGCACGGTGCCAATCACTCATGCCGAGCTTGTTAGAGCCTCAAGGAAGCATGAAACACTTGTATCCTCCCATTGGCGAACCGGAATCCGTTTCACCTTTGGTGTCAGATGCTACTCTACTCGAACATAAAAGTTGTGCAGGACCACGGAATCTGCCAAGTTGCCGTCATCGCAAGTCATGCCTGGCGTGAACCAAGACTTCGTCCTATGTGTATGGTGCGTGTAGCCACAACGGACGAACGGTGCCCTCGCACTCCGCGTTGTTGAACTTTAGTAACCCATCACTGCCCGTGTCGCGTCAAAACACCAGGCTAACCCCCGCATCGTCGGCCTTGGGCTAAGAGAGAATTTGCGCGGTGTAAGTGGGGACAGTCTTGTTAAGCGGGGAGTCGTGACAAAGAAACAAGACTTCACACGAACAGAACTAGAAACTGAAAAGAATTTGAGGAGGATGGTCGTCGCTTTTGAGGACGGTTCCCTGGGGGGCATCAAAAACTATCCCAGATTTTAGAGATCCACCCGTCCCGCTGTCGGGCACTTGTCTGCTTCCGAAGCTTGCTACAATGATCTGCATGACTCGGAACTTAAGAGACGCGGTCCCCAGTTGTGAGCGCCGCTGATTCGTCTGAGACGGCTACGGACAGGGTTGGCGGCGGGTCGCGCAGAGTTGCAACGACGGGAGTGTTGGCCGGCGGGCAGCGATTTAGCACCGTGATATGCTAGAAACAACGTCAACGTGGAGATGGTTTGGAGTAATTCTTGACTTGTAATACCAAATTTCTCGTGTAATGGTGAAATCGACGATGATTAGTTGTTCACCGCCGAGTTGCCCCCTTTGAGACCGGGCAGAGTATATAAGTTGATGGTAGACGCACTTACACCTTTCACTATCTCTAAGCTTGGTCTATCAGTTTTTGCTTCATACCTTCTCCCACCTTAAACTGCCAAAATGGAGGCCATAACACCCCCCAAACATCTTCTCAGCTCATGGGCCGACGATTCCTCACTCATACGTAAACTGGATTTATGGACATCACTATGTCTCGGCATTATCCTCATCAGCGTCTTCACGATAATACCCCACATTCGCAAGCCTTCTCGCAAACTCCCCTCCGTCAACCCGGGGCGACTATTCGATTTCTTCGACCAAGAACGGAAGAAGGGTTTCTTGATAAATGCTCGTCGTATCATGGAAGACGCCCGAACTCAATTTCCCGGCCAGCCTTACAGACTTATGACGGACGTTGGTGAAACAGTTGTCATTCCGCCGGATCTAGTTCACGATATTCGCAATGAGCCAGGGTTGAGCTTCTCAAAGGCTTTCGCAGACAACTTCCACCCTCAACTGAATGGATTCGAAGGGTTCGCGGTTGGCAACAGACCGGACGGACTTTTCCAGCTTGTCATCAAGAAGCGCATCACCAAATTACTCAGTAGGTTTTCGCTCTCCATCATGAAGTTGCCCTTTTCTTACCCCACACCCCACATTGAGACCCCACGTTACAGCAACACACCATCACGATACTTACACGATGATGCAGATCAAATCACGGAGCCTCTTGCGTCGGAAACCAGATTTGCTGTCGATCACATCTTCGGCAAGCCCACCGGTAGGTTTCTTGTCACGCCAACTGTAGAGTAAGCGTTTGTCATCTGTTTACATTACTAACACGCTTATGACTGCTCTATGTAGATTGGCAAGAGTATAACACCAAAGACACCATTCTCGACCTCATCTGCCGCCTTTCCTCCCGCGTTTTTCTCGGCGATGAAGTATGCCGCGACGAAGCCTGGCTCGCGATAACAAAGTCCTACACCGTCAACGCCTTCCTCGGCGCCGAGATCCTGCGTCCGTACCCATACTGGCTGCGTTACGCCGCCAACTTGATCCTCCCTGAGTGCAAAACTCTTAGGCGGCAGGTATCTGATTCTCGAGACATCATTGAGCCGGTGCTTCAAAAACGTAGAGATGCGCGACAGCAGGCTATTGAGAGGGGCGAGCCGGCGCCGAAGTTTAATGATGGCATTGATTGGTTTGAAGAGGAGAGTCAGGGCCGGGCGTACGATGTTGTTGGCGCGCAGCTGGGTCTGTCGGTCGTTGCAATTCACACCACCACGGATCTACTCGTGGAGACGATGCTACGCATTGCAGAGAACCCGGAGTTATTTGATGCCCTTAGGAAGGAAATTGTGGAAGTTCTGACCGCTGAAGGCTGGAAGAAGACGGCTCTTTTCAATATGAAACTCATGGACAGCGTCTTGAAAGAGTCACAACGACTGAAGCCAGTCACATCTGGTAAGTCTCTCCTTTTATTTCCTGTGACAACAGGAAAATATCCTCCAAGCACCCGTCGCTCACCATACCAACCAGCAATCATGGCCCGCATGGCAACCCGCCAAGTGACCCTCCCCAACGGCCTCAAACTCCAAAAAGGAGAACGCTGCGTCGGCGACCTAGGCAAGATGCACGACCCCTCCATCTACCCGAACCCCGAAGCCTTCAATGGCTATCGCTTCCTCGAGATGCGCGACGACCCGAAGCTTGATAGCCAAGCCCACCTCGTCAGCACATCACCCTCGCACCTCGGTTTCGGCCATGGCCAGCACGCGTGCCCGGGTCGCTTCTTCGCCGGCAACGAGCTCAAGATTGCGCTGGCGCATTTGCTGATGAAGTTTGACTGGAAGTTGACGCCTGGGTATGAGCATCAGTGGCAGGAGTGGGGGTTTGCGTGGAACTCGGATAGTACGGCGAAGCTATTGTTTAGGAGAAGGGAGGCGCCGGAGATTGATATTGATGCGATATGAAGATGGAGTGAGGTGCGATGATACGTGGCATTTGCACAGAGGAGAAGGTAGTGAGTCCTTAAGCGAGTGATGGTTTCCAATATCCTCATGTGACTTTATCAAGAGCGAGGTACTATGGCCTCAAGCAGGGAAGAAAAAAAAGAAAGAAGAAAAACAAAAAGACGAGATATAAAGGGCGCTTGTGGAATTTGAACCCACAAGATACAGCTCGGTAGCTCTGCACTTCAGAATTAGGGGTATAACCATCTTAAGCTTATGGGCAGGAGTCCCTTTTACTGCTGTTGAGAACAGATGAGATAAATCAGGTTATGGACTCTCCTCCGGGTCCCACCTTGTCCTGTGATACCTCAGGGTTCGAGTTGACGAATACGCATATAGTATTTGGCGGTGGAGATTGCACACATGAGATCACACAATCATTTCACCAATGAACCTAGGAAACCTGAGCAAGACGCATGTCTCAGAAAAGCTTCATTGAGTTTCAAGCCCCATTCAAGTATGCCTGCTTGCCAAATGAGACAAATAGAAAACAAGCCGTTGCCTCCACAGTGACTTCTTAACTCCTTCATCCAAATTATATCGACATATTCAATTCACCATTTCTGACTTAGCTTATCTGGCAAAGAAGACTTTGTTTCCCATGCTTCAAAGGCTGGGCTTGATTGAATAAGTGATCCTCAACCAGGCACCCAGTCCATCTCGTTCGGCAAAGACCTTGCCTCCTGCCGATAAGAAGCAGTAGATGGCCTCTGGCTGCTTCCTTCATCCGACCCGCCGATACTAGCACTTGATCCTCCTCCTAAAGGTCCTGTACTATAGTCGGGCCTCGTATCCATCTCCAACATACCGGCCGGTGCCTGCTGTCTTGCAAGACTATTCAGCCACTCCCGATGCTGCCGCTTTTGCTCCTCAATATGCTCCTTCGACCCTTGTTTCATATCTAGTTCTCGCTGCATATTGAGTGCGCTGGCCCTGTTTGTGCTAGTTGTCCCCCATCTCTCGTCTTCATCTGCAGCATCTACGTCCCCAGGTCCCGCCGCCCCCTTCCCCCTGTTCACTTTTCCCGGAGTCGAACCCGGGTAACTTGATAAGCTGGATACTTCCTCCGTGGTCGGCGAATGATCCTGCGGATCCGGGATTCTTCGCCGTCGAAACCCACCACCGAATCCAAACCCGGAGGCGGCGCCGCTATTGTGCCTTTCAGGGGAGTCCGGTATCGGAGGCGCAGGATCACGATATGCGTTCGCCAGCGTCGCTCCGTGTCTCTCCCTGAACCCCAGCGCGGAGTTAGCGGGACTCTGCTGCGCGAGCATAAGTCGGGCCTTAGCCTCGTGCTCGAGGTCCTCCGTGAAAGATGCCGATAAGGCATACGCGTGGGGGAATATGCCCATCGGCTCGGGGCCCTCTGCGATCTGGATCCCAGGTCTGCCGAATACAGAAGCATGAGTGGGGAGCTGTGGCGGCGGCTGCTGCTTGCCTGGACCATATCCCGCGAACCCGGAGGAAGATTGCGATAGAGGGAAGGATATGTCTGGGATGTTGGCGAATACGTTTGGGATCTTGGACATCGGGTCCGGGACGGCGTTGACTATGTTGCGTCTGGAGAAGCGGCTGGCTTTGATGGTGTCCCCGAACCTATGCCTGGGCGGAGAGTACTTTGAAAAGGGCGTAGGATGCGCCAGAGGCTGTGGAACAAGCTGCGGTGCCGCAATCCTGGGTCTTTTGAGTCGTTTTGGAGGGTGGTTTGCTCCATTCCAGGGGTTCTTGGGCTTCCTCTTCCTGATAATTTCAGTAAGCGGATCATTGCTTGCAAGGCCATCCTCGAGGTCTTCCTCGTCAGTAACATGCTCCACCAAGCCATGCTGATCAAGCTTATCCCTCTTTTCGAACTCGGTAATCACCTCATCCAGATCCATCTCCCAATCCCTCGCCAAATCAATCTTGACTTGGCCCGCAGCCTTCACCGTCGTCTTCACAAAGCTGAGAAACTTCTCAATGACAACCAAAGTCTCCACAGGAAGCATCTCAAGCTCCTTTTGCACAAGCTTAACCATCCTCGCCGTCGCCGGCCGCCGCGCGATCTTGAGCCTCGGTATGATGGGTTGCAGGAGGTTATAGTTTGAAGGATTGATCTCGGAAAGATTCTCAGCCCAAGGCCTCATCTCCTCGAGCTGCGCCCTCATGTTGGTGAATTTCCCCACAAAGTCATGAAGAACCGCCATGTTGACGGCGGGTATGAAGCCGGTCCCGCCGTAGTCTGCCACAAGTCTCGTGGCCTGTCTCAGTGCCTCCGCTCCCAGATCGGTTGTAACCGTGAGGCGATAGTCCAGGTCCTTGGGTGCGTCCGTCGTCTGGAACGCTTCGAGCTCTGCGTCATCGAGGTGGTAAATGTCGATAAATATCTGCTGAAAGCACCCGATCTCGAAGATGATCACCTCGTGTATCCGTCGCAGTACTTCCGCAGTCCTCTGGCCCGCTCTCGTCCCTAGGTCGGGGATGTTTTGCCAGAAATAATCCTCATCTTGGAGCGGATGAACCGATCGATGTGGCAAAGGGCATAGCTTGCCATTTAATGACGATCGCGAATGTTGTAAACTCCTGTCGAGCATCAACCCCCATCTTCGAGTCTCAGCTTTCTTCCAGCTCTTCAGCCACGCTCTGCTCTTTATCCTATTATCAACATCCTCGGTACCTTGCCGCAAATTGTACGCAATATGGGTCTCAATCACGATGACGGCCAACTGAAACATGTGTGTGACCATCGGTCCGTTCCGTGAGTAAACAAAGTGTTTGTGGTCTCTCTCCCACCGATACCGCACCACATGCGGCCTCAGAAACTCCGTCCCAGCCTGGTACAAGAAACGCTGCAGCGTCGGGCCAGCGTCAAGCATCTCCTCCGAGTCGCTTTTCGGCAGCAGTTCCAGAGCCCGATCGCCCCTCGGCGCCAGCACACCTTTCAGCGCGGCGCTCAGCTGGACGCGCGGCCAGATGATGGGTAGCTTGACCGGGTCCAAGCCGCCGAAGCGCAGCGCCGCGGGGCCGTACTTGTTCACCTCGACGTTCCAGAAGGCTTCAGTGAAGAGGCGGACAATGTGGGCGACGCGGGTGGGGCAGAAGTATTGGTCCGGGAGCAGCGGTATGTGGTCGAGAACGAGTCTGTCCGGGCTCTTTTCGAGCTTTTCGACGGGGAGACGGCCGCAATCGCCTTTGGGCCGTGGCCACCTCTCCATTGCCATGGCGGCAGGCAGAAAGAAGAGATGGGGCAGTTCGGGGGAAATGATGTTCCAGTGAACGCCACCGAAGAGCTTTTAGGTAGTTGGTGATGTGTCAGTGTGGTTTCTAACTGTCTACATAACCATTGCTTCTGAGTCACAAGGGGGTAGTGGTAGTTGCAAAGAAGGTAGAGGAAACGAAGACAAATAGAGTCAACTCACCCGGTTCTCGGTACAAAAACCCAGCTCAGCCTGCGACTCATCCTCGAAGAACGGCTCAAGGTGGCCCTCCGAAAATTTGGAAAACATCTTTGACCCAACCTCTGAAACTTTCTTGACCTTGTCCGGGGTGGCTTTCCAGGTCTCAACTTGGAAGCAGGCCGGCGGCAAAAGAACGAGATGTTGCGCATAGTTGACCGCATGCTATCCGAATCCAACGTCAGTCATATCCATGATAGGTAGTCTCTCAAAGGGTTTCTGACAGAAGCAGACACTTACGGCAATCTCGTGAACAATAGTAGAAGCCAAAAAGAACCCCTGCAACAACCTCTCATCATCACTATACCCAGGTACAACCAACGGCCACAACGCGTCGGCGACAATATACACATCGATATATGAACCCGCAACACACGTCACGCCTGCCGTCCCACTATCCTCCTCCTTAGATCCGCTACATAGCATGAACCGCATTCTCGTCTGCAGGACGTGGAGAACCTCGAAGTGGACGTCAAACATGTCCTTGCGAGTCTCGTCGTCAACGATGGCGTTTTGTCCGCCGCCGTCGTAGTCTTGCAGGGTGAACTTCACGGCTGGGTTCTTCTTGCGCATCTCGGGAGTGCGGTAGTCGTGGGGTCCGTCGATGGTTTGGCGGTTGAGGACGTCGTGGAGGCGGCGCCAGTAGGGATCGTTTTTGTCGAGGTGGGTTAGGATGCGGGAGGCTAGGAGGAGGGCTGGTTGCATTTTTTCCCAGAGGTAGTCGTTTGTCTTGATATGTGTTAGCTCTCGACTTGTTGGTGTATATACGAACGTGATTTGAAAGGAGAGATATCGTTTCTCACTCTTGGGTCCCATTCTCCTTTTACTTGGCCGGATTGGTAGACGAGTCTTGGTTTGTCGGGGTCGCACCCTCGCCATGTGCTTTCAACCCACTTGTCTCTCGTGAGATACCTTCATCCATCCAAACAGATCAGCCGTCAGAAACCTGAGAAGAGAGAGAATAACTCATCCTAGACTTACTTATGAAGATCATTCTTCAAATCACACGCGCTCCCATTCCTCATCGACATCATCCCCCCCTCAATCAACTACACTTCCTCATCAACCTCAACTCATCGTCACAAACACGCTCACGAACGCAATATCAACATACCTCATGCGAAGTCATCCCCCGAAACACCATCATCTGCAAATCCTCATCATCCCTCATCCCCTCCAACGCCCTTAACACAAACCTCTCATTCTCGTTCTCACCACCCCCCCTCATCCCAGAATACACCTCCAACAACCCATCCACCCCCGTCAACCCAGCCGTCCTAGCAAACCCCTCCGCCTGCTTAATCACAACCTCCGCCGTCACACCAGGGACCTCAACCCCATCATACTTGAACTTGCGAAACGCACCCCTCGTAGGCGTCAACCGCGACCTACCATCCAGTCGATCAGGATACACCCCGTACCGCAACGCAAACGCGCTCGGATTCTGCGCCCTATCCTGCGGCAGCTGCGCCGGACGAATGCTCTTCGTCCAGTCGCGCCTGCGCACCACATACGCCGGGTTCTTCTCGT